GAGAAATAGTAAATATTAAGATGCCAGATTCGGCGTAAAGCTTGCCCTCTTTTCTTGACCCCATATCATGAAGCACTAAACGAATAGAATCCTAACCCCATTGATTGATGAAAACAACTGTGAAAAAAATAGGTGATGTGTTTCTAACGGACTATTAAATTAAAATCTTACTTAAATTGGATTGTCATTATTGAGTGTAGTAGTAGTAAGGATTGTTCACCTAAAAGATTGGGTTTAATTAATAAGTTATTAATCTTGTTAAACAAAAATAGAAATAAAGGGGATTTGGATCTTAAACGAAACTAAAGAAAATTAAAGCAAAATTTGAAATTAAGAAGAAATCAATAACTTATAAACGACCGGTCAAAGGATTATTCGCCACTATAAGACAATGGAATTATGATGAACACGCAATATTATCTCTAATTTCTTATTAAAACTATCAAACTGTAGATAACAATAAACTCTGTTAGCCCAATCTTTCCTTAATTTTCTTTCCCTCAACAACCTAGAATAGGCTCCCTAGATTCAATCCAGCAGAAACATTAGGATAAGAAAGATAGGTTGATCTAGGCAATAAACACACAAGTTCAGATTATTTAACTTAGGTTATGTTCTACATGTAATCAAACAAAAGCCTCTTGCAATTATTGACCAGGATTCACAACTTAGGATTAGAAAATCAGGAAAATTAAGTATCAAAAATTCCTATTCTAGCAATAGGTAATTTTCAAGTCCTATTTAGTTAGCTACCCAAAGAAAACAAGAAGGATAAATTTTATTTTTACCCCCTGAACTTTAGTCTCTTTGTCACTCCCCGAACTTTAGAAATTAGTTTGCGCACATTGAACTTTGAAAAGTTATTAACTTTGCCCCTTCCGTTTATTTGACTAACAGATTTGATGACGTGATAATTATTAGAGGGGTAGTTTTTGCCCCTTCCGTTTATTTGAAAAGTAAATTTTTTTTTTTAGAAAAACCTTAGTCCTATTAATCTCTAAAAAGTGCATATCAAAACACAATTGCCCATGTGCCCCCCTAAATTTTTTTAAAATTCCTTTTAGTTGTAAGAATTTGTGTGTAGGCCCCACCCCCCGTAAAAATTGAAAATTTATGAAGCCTAACCCTCATTAAGCCCAATAAACATTCTCACTTAGCAAAGAAAAAATAGAGAATTTATCCTTAAGAGTGCATGAGTCTGGATCTTTATTCTTTATTTTTAATAAATATTATTTTATTAGTGTAATTATTTAACTAAAAATATTATAAATTAAGAATAAATGATAAAAATTATGAGGATATTTCTCAAGAAAAACCCTTAACTAAAGCAAGCAACAGGCCCAATGAATATTTAGGCTCACAATTTAGCCAAATCTCAATCCCTCTTCAGTTATTAAGTTAAAAGGAAATGAAAAAAACTCTGCACATTCTTCTCCCCTTTTTTACTTTTTTTTTTTTTATGATGAATGATAATGATATTAGAAGAGCTTAGTCACGTGCACGTAATCAAAGAATTTTAAAAAAGCAAATTTGAAGTTGTTCACATAAAAATAGCAAAAAGGGAGAAAAAAGAAAAAGAAAATCGTTCAAGTTCAAAAAAGATATATATTATCCGGTTCAAGTTTAAAAAGTAATAAAAAATGAAAGAAAAGAAAAAAAAATCCGTGGAGGAGAAAAGATTCAGCTGGAAAATTTTTTAATAGGTTTAAATGAAAATATTTCCCAAAAAAAAAAAAAACAGAAAGTAAACCTTCTTCATAACTGTCTTTAGATGTGGAAAAATATGTGGTGTACATAAAAGGAGTGTACATAAGGGTATTTATAGAACTTGGAGAGATTTTAAAAAGGTTATAATTTTAGATTTTAAATATATTGGGGTGTTTTAATAAAATCGTGGGATGCCAATAAAATTTTCCTAAGTTAAAAAGAAAAGAAAAATAAATAAAAGGAATGGGTTAATCGTGGAGGACAAGAAAAGTGAATTGGGAAAGTTGAAACCCATTTACCTTTCCCATCCATTCAATTGATGCCAAGACAGACCAATCACACCAATTTACCAACAAAAAAAGGAAGAAAAAAGCGGCCTATTGAATCATAATTCATACCGGTGGACTAACTACAACCTTCATAGGTAATTTTCGCCATAACCCATAAACTTTAACCTTCATAAGTACTTTTTTTTTTCCCCCTTGAATCATAATTTATAAAACTAGAATTGCAGACTAACTTCATAAATGATTCTTATTTCTTGAATCTTATATTGCCTTTTTTCTTTCTTTTATTTTTTATTTTATTTTTGCTTGAGTCATAATTCATAGAACTACAATTGTTGACTAACTTGATAGATGGTTCATATTTCTTGAATCTTTTATAGTTATATTGCCATTTTTTTTTTCTTTTTTGCTTGAATCAGTATTCAGATAACTAATATTATAGAATAACTTCATCATTGATTCATATTTATTTACTCTTATATTGCAATTAAGTAGAAATTGATACCTATTATCAAGCATTGATGTTTTTTGGTCTTTATACATTATACATATACATCATACAAGATTGTTATAAAACAATACTTGATTTTTGTAAATAGTTATGTGGAGAATCGACACATTCTTTAAACGAAAGTTAGAGTCCCCATTTCCTGAAGGAAAAAATGATAAAAGTGCAAAATTGACTAGTATGGAAAAAGATATCGGTGACCTTCCTACAGATCCCGGTCTAAGAATTCCAATTGTGGAGTATGATTCTAATGTTTGAGTAGTAAGAGCTGATATTTATGTATTCTAGTATTTTTTATAGGTCGATGCCTTCCTTGAAATAAAATCCTAACTCCGCATAGACATGTTATGATTTGCATCTCATGCTGGAGCAAAATTTTGTCCAATACTTTACCAACGTCTCTAGACCAGAAATTTGAATTAAATAAACGAGTAATCTAAGAAAATTGGATGAACACTCTAAGAACACATTTGACCTCCAAAAAAGTAACAAGAACAAATGAAGACAATCACAAGGCAATTGTATATTCAGAAATGAGTGCGTGTGCCTTTCCCTCTAAAATTGAGAGAATTTATGGTACATTAGGATTGAGGGAGTTTAATTCTCTCATTAATTCACGAGTTTATTCTCTCGTAATTACAATGACACTCTTCACCTTTTTGTGAGTTAAAACTGATAAAATAATCAATGAGAATTAACTTTCAATCATTTAATGTCTTCAATTGGCATCGGTTACTTCACTTGATGACATCACTTGACCTTCGAACTTTCGGCTAAGAGAACTTGGGCTCAAGCGAGCTTGGGCTCAGGAGAGCTTGGGCTCAGGAGAGTTTCGGCTCAGGAGAGATTGGCTTTAGGCGAGCTTGAGCTAAAGAGAGATTGACCTCAGACGAGACTGGCCTCAGGCGACATTAGGCTCAGGCGAGATTGGGCTCGGACGGCATTAGGCTCAGACGGGCTTGTGCTCAGGCGAGCTTGAGCTCAGAAGTGATTGGGCTCAGAAAAGCTTTAGACTCGGAATTAATTGCGCCTTTGATGCTTCCAAAAATACTGCCCAACATCTCATATTATGATGAAAGTAGGTCCAGAAAGGAAATTTCATTAAGTCAAAGATCTAATTAACGGCGTCATGATTAGAAGGCTTGTACCGGGATAAAGATTTCCCATTATGTGCACTGGGCCAAATGTTGCCCCAAAGGATGGTGCCAATACAAAGATTGCTTGTTATTAATGTTGTCCAGGTAGGTTAAGGAATATAAAGCTTACGGTATTCATGTTTCTTCTCATTCTTGTCGATTTAGGTGCATTGTTTCATGCTTGATATGGTTCTCTGGGATGGTTTCTTAAACACAAAACTTTTTTGTTTCAATGATTGCAGTTGGGCTGTTCTCTCAAGCGGTTGTGGTTTGGTTTTTTTTTTTTTTTTTTTTTTTTTTTTTTTTTTTTTTTTTTTTAAGCATTTCCTCTTTTGAAAAAAGTAAACATGCAATCTTTTATTTTTCCAGGATTTTCTCTTTGAGTTTTTCTAAATTATAGAGAGCTTTAACGAGGTGATCTGTCGTAAATTAAGTTATCCAGAGGTTTCTTAAATCATATTTTCTCATTAATTTATTTTACTTTTTTTTTCCCTAGCAATTTCTAATACTTATTATATCTTCTCACATCATTTACTTGAAAAAAACAAGAACATAAGAAAAGTTTAGAAACCAATGGAATTACTAAAAATTTGGTAAACAAATGAATTAATGAATTTCTTTGTATGTACGTATAATGTTCTGTAATATACAGTTTATCACATATCGGTACATGCCATGCACGACAAGGAGTAGGAGGCGGTTCACACACACACACACACACAGAGATATATATATATATATATATATATATAGGTAGCTAGGATCGCTAGCTAGTTTTGTAGTAGATATATCGATGTCAACCATGTTTAGGCGTGAAAAGATAATAATCCCTAGCTTTTGCTCCTTAACATTTGTGTCCAATGAAGGATAGCCTACATGATCTTCTGGACAGTTTCGATCCACTCTTCCTTGGAAAATACATTGCTGCGTTTGGTTATTTGTTTCGGCTCCTGGGTTTTAGTTTGCAATGCACTTTTTTGCTTTCCATTTATGGGAAATATATTCTTGTGGTAACTATGGTTAGAATATTGTTTCCCGAGGATTAATTGAATGGACTGTACAAGCTCACATGCCTCTCACACGCATATGATCATATGCTAAATATGTAACAAAAGAACAAAATATCTCTCTAACCTAAATCCTTTGTCACTTCAACATCAGCCTTTTGCATCTAACCCCATTTCCAGATTCCTTATATCAACATCAAACTCTCACCTCTCATTCTATTTTCGAATCCCTTTCTTGAAACTCTCCCCTTCTCTCTCTCTCTCCCTCTCTAGATCTCTCGTCAACTTAAGGCACCAAAATGACATAGCCAGTTACTCAAACAAGACATATACCTGTCACGATATATAACCTTCTGCGTAATATGCTTTAACATATTAGCTTTTTCATTGATATGTTCCACCAACATGGTCCAAATGCATTTTAAGGCAAACCCTTCTTTTTCATTCCCACATATACCATTGTCACCACTTCCACGAAATGTAAACATCAAAACGAAAACAACAAAAGATATAAATATAAATATAAAAAAGGTCACGTTTTCCAACGATACTACAAACGTTTGCTGATCAGCTAGATCAGTTCTTCAATGGAAGGAACTCGAAGAACTGGGAAGGCATTGTCATGACGCCTGCGTTCATGGCCGAAACCGATAAAATTTGACCCTCTTTCTCACTTCCATTGTCATCTCCACTTCTAAGTGGAAATAGTTCAAGGGTTTGGGATTCCTCACTGCAATTATTATTGTAATCTTCTTCTTCAGAGTTGACTTTAGAACTGCTTAAGTAGTTATAACCATTATTAATAAGGCCATTCTCTGATCTGTAAGCTGGCGTGATGAAGATGCTTAGATCATTTGTAGAGGTCTTAAGGAGCCTTTGGTCCATTGTTGAGCTGATAACTGAGGCTGTTGTTCTGCTTCTTCTTGTTGTTGTAGTAGTAGTGGTGGTGGTGTTAGTAATATTAGGGAGGTTGGTCGGAAGAGAAGTATGGGGATGAGGACAAGACAACTGCATCATCTGCCACGTGGCATTCCTTTCAACAAAGTTGTTCCTTTTATGCTGCAAGTGCAATTCCCCTTCTCCCAATTGGATCCACCCATCTGTCCTTATACATGACTCTGCACCCTGGCCCACTACTCCTGCTTTTGCTGCTCCTGCTGCCCTTTGTATTGAAACATGAGATTCCTGCAAATTTTCAAAACATTTTTTTTTTCTTCTTCTTTACTTTTCAATGACATGCAAAAAACATGAACATCCCCAAAAAAAAAAAAAAAAAAAAAAAAAAAAAATTGTTAAAGGGCACCCCATATTTTGTGTGGTGACAGCTAAAGGCTCTGATTGTGTGAATTTAAAGAGTAGTGTATTGTAGATTGGTAGGGCTAGGATTGTCTTTCTACTATATGGGTGCTCATTTCTATAGAATCTTTTACTTGGGTGCTCGAATCAAGATTATTGGCCGAAATGAATGGCATGAATGTCTATATAGCATGCACAACACCCTAAACCCCTCAGCCAAGTTTCATAACAGCAGCCCCGACAGAAAGGAAGGAGTGCAGCTTTTAGACCCTTTTCATTTCCCAACAAACAATGCTTTTGTTGTTGGCAATTCCCTTTTCATTTACAGGATGATGATGATATGTATGTTCGAATATGTTTGTTTGTTTTTTTTAACTTTTTGAATCTTAACACGGCCTAAAGATGATGATTATCACATAATAATCATAAGCAGATTAACCCTGCTAATTGCCTTTCTTTTAATAGACTTTTTAAGTTGAAAAATGAGGATTTATTTTTATTTATTATTCTATGGATGAGAAAGACAAAAGACAGATATATGAAGATAGGAATTAGACCTCTGCAAGAGTACTGCAGTTCGTAGGGGGTGCCCAGTTCTTGGTCTGTTCAACTTCAAACACTGTCCTACTTGCTCCTGTAGACAAAAAGAAAAACAAAAAGAATACAACTTTTACATCTCAAGGAACAATTGGAATAATGGAACAAAAAAGCAAATACCGAAACCAAACACCTATAACAACAAAACGGAATCGAAAAGGCCAACCAAATCAAACAAAACTCACTCTTTACTTTATGCTCTAATATTATAACGTGAACTTTTGTTGTGACTATGCCAAAAGAATGATTAGAATATTAGTTATTCTTCATATTTTTTTATACAGAAATGCTTCACATATAACAATATTAGATCATATGATCATGCACTTTTATATGATATAGTAGTAATCATTATCCAAGATACTATTAACGTTTTCTTAACAAATCCGTTTGTCTTATTATTATTATTATTATTTTACCTAATTCTTTATTCTTTTCGGGCATGTCGAGCTCTCGATCCTCTGGAGTTGATTCCATCTGACGGCGGCGCTTCTGCCTCTCTCTGGCCTTATGATTTTGAAACCAATAAAACACGTTCTTCCCTTCAATCTTTCCATATCTCCGAAGCTGAGCCGTGATGTGCTGAATTTGCTCAGCCGACGGCGTCCGAGTCCCTCGCCGGTAGAGATCTTCCAGAGCCCTCAGCTGCTCCGGCGTCGGATTCCACCGTGAGCTCACCACCACTTGTGGACTTGTATTAAACTCTCTCTTGTTTTGCTCAGCCACAGTCGCTGCAAAGTTTACGCTAACAATCTCATAAAACTGCTCGAAATATATGAAAGAGAAGAAATTAAAGGCAGAAATACACATTCAATGAGAGAAATAACGCGTACCCAGATGGTGATATTGAGCAAAGAAATCGGCAGAGCCCTGAATACGGCTTAAGCATGGAGGGTTTGAAGTTGGAGTGTTGTTAGTAGAAGGCAAAGGCCTTGGAATGAGAGGACGAACCTTCCGAGTAGTACTGTTGAATGAGTCGTGCAGGTTCAGCTCAGCTCCGTCGTTATAGCCCATCATCCACATGATTTTTTTCTTCACCACACAAAAGTTTTTTGCTGCTCTCTTCACCACACAAAGTTACAAACAACAAAAGTACCACTACTACTACTATACTGGTACTACTACTAGCTAGGGTTATGGTTACTGTGTTTTGATATGATATATATAGGCACGAAAAGAGGGAATATTGAGAGCATGCAAGAGAAATGAAAAGTGTATATATAGATATATATATATATATATATATATATGTAGATAAGGTTTATATATAGAAGGGTTGGTGTTGAGATGCTATTGATGATGAAGTGTAATAGCTAGCTGTTGTTGAAAAATGGGGTTAGTTGGAGCTGAAACAGTGAAGTGATATTAGAGTTTGAGACATTCGGAGGTAGGGATTGTTGTGTAGTACTATTCTTCAGAAAGAGAGAGAGAGAGAGAGAGGGGAGAGAGAGAAGGGAATGAGAGCTACAATGGTGTGTAGGTTTAATACTTGGAAGAAAGTGAGGAAAACATGAGGTTGACTAGCGAGGCTATATTCGGGAGAGAGAATTTAGAGGAAAGAGAGAGAAGAGTGTGAATGTGTGGAAGACAAAGGAAAAAGAGAGGAAAAAAGCAAATTAAGATAGCTGAGAGAGGGAGAGAGAGAGAGAGAGAGAGAGAGAGAGAGGAGGAAGCGTGGAATTCTGGGAGGTTTTTGGGAGTAGCAAATGAAAAACGACGTGACGATCATGAGGGTTATCATAAGCCTCATCAGTCATCACTATTCACAACTTTCTCTCTCTCTCTCTCTCTTTCTCTACCCCTTCTCTCATTTATTGTTCTCCTCACGTCTCGTGCCTTTCACACTTATTCTAAATCCAAACTGCCTTTCTCTCTCTCTCTCTCACCCCTTTTTCACTTGTTCATATACTTACAACACATGAGTCCATTCCATGCACCATTTGCTACATTACACTGCATTGCACCCCACTTCTTATTAATTTCTCTCTGCAGAGATTTATTGTACGGATTTCTCTTGTTTCTCTCATATATATCACTCTTTTACCCTTTCTTCACATATATGCCCAAACATGTACATGAGATTTTCACGTACACATATATCCAAAGTTTCTCATTGTCCGATCCCACAACAATACATGTTATGTGATAGATATGTATGTTGTCCTTTTAGCTGTCTAGCAAGGATTTTTGCATATAGGTACAGTTTGCAATAAAATGGTATATTACACTTTTACGTGATACCAATTTTACTGTGTCTCGTTTGGACTTTTCGTTCCCTGCCTCTTTTCTGTTTATAATAAATTTAAAATTTTTAGGTCCCATCTCCGTATCCATATCCTGGCCGGCATACAGGTCTCTCTCTCTCTCTACTCTCTCTCTCTCTCTCTTTCATGAATTGAAGAAGATGTGCAATATAGCCCCTTGGTCATTATGATGGAATGACTCAATTCTCGAGTGAGACTGTACATCTGTCCAATCCAGAATTTAGAAAGACATAATTGCTTAATTATTTCTAGCCTTTTGTTGGATGGAGGGCCTACATCTGAATAATCTGAAACCCCTACTGCATATATGTGGATTTATATTCTCTATATTTATATTGGCAAAATAGTCAACAAAATGTTAACTAAAAACCAGATTGCTGTAATTGAGCCAATAAATATAAATATATGTATATATATTGACTACTTTCTCTGTGAAGTTGACCCAGATAGATATGACTAATCACTGAAATCTAATTAAGGTTCAAAGGATAGATTTGTTGGAATAATTATTGTCGCTAAAAGAATGTCTGAACTTTTTTTTCCAGCAGTATATACTTGCCTTTTCCTCTCAATTAGCCTGAAAAACAAACGTATTCTTTTAAAGAATAAAGAGAGGGAATAATTAATGTTGAAGGCAACGAACACATTCTAATTAGGTTAGCATCAACTATAATTAAATCCTGCACCAAATTTTCCTTCAAAATTATTAGTAGAAAAGAAAAATACGAAAGTCAAAATAATATGGAAGGGCAAAAGAAAGCAGCCCAAGAAAGGCACAACGACAAAATAGAAACCACTAGGCAGGAAAAAAAAATCAGAGATAAAAAAGCTAGGAGGTGCTGTCAGAAGATTAAGCTAAGAATGGCACATTGAAAGACAGCTCTAAATATGTCTTCTTAAAAACCTATTAACAAAATGGGACCGTCTCCAATAAACCGTCTTACCGGTAAGACTAGTTTTTTAATTATTAAATCTAATTAAAATCAAATAAGATTAAAAAATATGCAGAATATATAATTTTTTATGCATATTTGACGGTTGAAAAGTGTCTGACAAAAATAAAACTATCGGTAGTTTTATTTTTCTGATTCTGCAGAGAAACTCTCTAATAAAAATTCAATGTGGAAAATGCTAAGAGGGAATATATAAGAGTACATATTTAGTACCGGTAGTCGGGCCATTTGGTAAACTAAAATTAGGAAAAATCCGCATTTATACCTATTCACTAGAGCTACGTAGAAAGCAGGAGTCAAGAACCGCCAAGAATATTAGAATCACACCGCACAATCATAAATGATAATATTGTATGTAGTAAACATGCTATTTTCTAACGTAAATATAATAGCATTTTCACTTTTACATGAGATTCGTATAATAATAATGTGTTTGATCTTCGTTTATTAGTTTGGAATGTGGCGTTGTTCTAAAATTTCCAAATTTGTAGAGACTTGAAGCATAATTATCTCACCTTCTTGAACATTGTAATATATAATCCGAATAACTAGAGATTCTAGATGTCTTAATGTCTAAAATGTTTAAATTGGTGCTTATGATTAAGCACGTCTTAAAACCCAATATTACAGTATTATAAATAAAATACTGTATTTTACTAATAAGTAATATTTCTTGTTATTGTGAATTACATCTATTTTTGTGAAATCGTTCCGCCAATTTGAAAATAATCTTAATACTATGTTTATATACTGGGATAAGATTTTGGTGGTCTATTTCTAAATTAGTAGAATGGTCTTATCGAAAATGTAATAATAGTGATTACTAAAGTGAGGCACTAATGCATTTAAAATATATTAAACGAAGACAACTGTGAGATTATAATTCTTATGTAATTTCTCGATAAGAATTCAATTTTATCATTGTTTCAGCGTTTTATGGATATTACTTTTATCTTAAGTGATTAGTTGAACCACATCCATTTAGTGTCTTCTAAATTGCCAATGAGTGAGATCAATTTTTTTTTTATGTAGTCAATAGTTCGATATGTTAGAGATACGATATTATGGATAGCTGAGAACAATAATTTTGTGAATGATTTGGTAATATGTAATTTTGTGAATGATTTGGTAATATGTTGTTAGGTATGGAAGTTTGTGTATTGTTTTATAATCTAGTATTTTGGTATGGATTAGTCAAGTAGATTAGTCTCTGAAGACTGATCACTGGCTACGGCTTGCGGTCACTTTTGATTTCTGTATAGTCAAACTAATCTGGTAGATTATTACAGGTAATCTTTCTGTATCGTCAAACTAATTATTACAGGTAGTCTATCAGATTACTCTTTGATGATTGATCACCAGCTACAATTGATAATAATTTTTTATCTTGAAAAAAAGAGACAAATACTCTTTAAAGGGTCTAAATTTTTACTCATTACTCTTAATTAATATCTTTTTTTAGTCAAATAACTATATTAATCAATTTTCTCTTTGATTTTTGAAACATTTGGTAGATTACCGCTTATACTCTAGTATATTATATTTGACCACTAAGGGAAATTTTTGTATAATATGTTTTTTATATCATTGCCTGATCTTCTAAAAAAGATTTGCAATCCAAGCAGCAGTGGAACTACGTTTTGAATTGCCTCCTTACAATTTCTTCCTATATTTAACCTCTCAAGTTTTTTTTCTTTTTTTTTTTTTTTAATTTTCTATCATATTATTTACATAATAGTCTCAAAGAATTTCAATTATCGCCTAAACTTTGATTCTTAATTGTCGCAATTAAATATTAAAATATCAAAAAACTCAAAATTATTTGTACTACGTGCTATATAAATTCACAATTTGTACTCCAAACTTTACAAATTGAAGTGAACTCTACGACAAATTTAGAAGAGAAGGCGAAACAACAACATAATAAGGAAAAAAAAAAGGTTAAAATAAACAACCTGCAAGCTGCAATGCTCCAGACCAGAGGCAAGAACAAAGCCAACGCATCAGAGCAAGAGGAAAAAAAAAGAGAGATAAAACCTGATTCACAAAGTCTTATGATAACGTATACAAAATTGATGATTGAAAACAAAATCATAAGAATTCTTGTTTTCATAAGAATTCAGTAACTCTTTTCCTATTTTCTTTAGGTATTACCTATTTATAACTCAACAAGGATTCGGAAGAGCATTTTCAAGGTCCCATAA